ATCATAGTGAGTTATAAAAAACTAAAACTAAAAATGGTTTAATTATTAGATTACCTAGATTATATAACAATCTTAGCAAAGAAGATAATTCCATTTTTATATTTTATAATAGTGTAGGAGTATATAAAAAGATCACATTTATTTTACATATACTAGAGTAAGTTTTGTTGTCTTTATTGTGACTTTGTTAATATTTTTTTCTATTTATAATGTATCAGTATTTTTTTATTCCATTCTGTAGGTGGCGGGCCACCCGCTGTTGAATGCGAATTAAAATAAAATATAAAAAAAATAAAATAAAACTAGACTTACTATGTCTGATTGAACAACAGAACATGAGCTTCTCCCCCATTGCTTTAGTGACAAATGGAGTTTGAAATTGCAACAAAAAGAAAAGTCGTTGAAAGGTATAAAGTAAAAAAAACACGGAAAACCAAAATAATTTTAATGGAATGGAAAAAATGAAGTGAAAAAAAAAAACGAAAACTAAGTTCACTTCGACGTTATTAGTGGGACTTGAACTATGGCTGCAATTCAATTCAATTCAATTCATTTATTCGCCTCAACAGATTACAAAAAGAACACACCAAAAAGACAGACAAAAAGGTAATAGCGAGATACATTGTAACTCATAACCATTGCGCGCCACATGAGCCGACCTTGAATAGGAAAGTGCACTTTCAGTTCATAGCGATTCTATGACTGAAAGCAAAAACTGTTCAGCATATCACGGTAGTTTTCAGTTTAACCTAGCTGTATCTGGTTTAAATTGCGTTTAAATAATTTAATCAATGGTCAACAAAAAATCTTTAAATAGTCCTCATATCCACACCCTACGGCGGATCGTCACCAAAATTGGATCATTTCTTCATTTCACCACGAAAAACTATTCTGCAAAGTTTTATTTTTATCCATTTATAACTGGAACGTAAGCAATTTAAATGACACTCAAATTTACACCCTAACCTGGATCTTCCCCTACACGTAATAATATCTTCCTTGTAACTTGGGTTTTCCTGAAAGTTTCATTCGGATCAGTTGACCCGTTTTTGAAATATCTGGTCTGGGACGTTTTCTTTTCAATGGTCCTCATATTCACACATTACGCCGGATCGTCACCTTTATAAACTATTATGGAAAGTTTCATTTACACGCAATGAAAACTTTTCATAGATATTTACGTCTGGGATCTCAAAAATTTAATTGACCCTCCGGTTTACACCCTTGACTGAATCGTCGCCAACACATAATACTATCTTCCTTGTAACTTAGTTACACTTTTCCGAATGTTTCATCCAGATCAGTTGATCCGTTTTCGAAATATGTGGTCTGGGACGTTTTCCTTTCCATGGTCCTTCGATCTACGCCCTACTCCGGATCGTCACTAAAATTTAATCTTTTTTTTTTACTCAACCTTGACAAACTGTTATACAAGGTTTAAATTATACCCATTGATTTTTTAAAAGAGATAGTTAGGTCTGGGTCCTCAAGAATTGAAATGACCCTCCAATTTACACCCTTGACTGATTCGTCGCCAGCACACAATAATTTCTTCCTTGAAACTTGGTTTAACTTTTTCCGAATGTTTCATTCAGATCAGTTGATCCGTTTTGAAATATGTGGTCTGGGACGTTTTCCTTTCAATGGTCAGATCCACACCATACTGCGGATCGTCACTAAAATGTTATCATTGTTTTACAAGACCTTTACAAAGTATTATAGAATGTTTCATTTAGACCCATAGGTTTTTTTAAAGAGATGTTTACGTCCTCAAAAATTTAAAAGACCTTCCAATTTACACCCTCCATTGGATCGTCACTGACACATAGCAATTTCTTAATTGTATCTTGATTAAACTTTTCCGTAAGTTTCATCCACATCAACTGACCGGTTTTTTAAATACCCGGTGTAGACTGTTTGACCTTAAATCATTTTAATTGGTCCTCACACGCACACCCCGCCATAGATTGACACTAAATATTAGGAGGCACATCTTTGATATATGGCCTATGCTTCGGCAAAACACGGAAAAATTCTAAGCATGGGAAGTGACCAAAATGACGGCCAGAAAAAAACAGTGCAAAAAAATATGAAAAATATATGAAGAAAAAAGAAGAAAAAAGTTGCCAACTTAGAAACCAGGGTGCAGGCTGTCCGGATAGATTAGAATCTATATCAAAATACACAAAACAAGAAATCCTCATGGTTAATGGTTAAAATTGACAAGATTTTATTTCTACGAAGTAACACATGTAGGCATCTAATACCCATTCTAAGAATGGAAAAAATTCTGTTTTATTTTTGTTATTTCTAAGTGCATGACATCATTTTAATTTTTAAAGGTACCTTTTAAAAGGCAGGTTATTTCTTTTTCTAATATTTCTTTTTATCCTTATTACCCTCCCCTTTTTCATTTTTTCCAAATTTTATTGAGTATTATTTTATTTCTACTTTGCACAAATCCTACGTTATTCGCCAGGATCCTAGGGTTTTGTGCATTTGTTTGTTTATTTATTTAATTATTTTAATTATATCTTGGATGTATAAATTATTATTAGTTTTAATCTTATTTCTCTTAGCCATTCTGGCACTGCAAACTTGCAGTGCCAGGATGATTAAGAGAAGTAAGATTAAAACTAATAATGTAGAAAGGCACTATTTGAAATATGTACTCTTAGTGAAGAGATCCAAGAAGACTATGTTGATGTATAAATCATCATTTAAATAACTGCAATTAAATTTCCATGTACCAAGACCTCTAGGAAGGGAATCTATCTCTAATTTAATAAATATAGCTAGGTGGTCGGTCATGATGGCCGGCCTTATATCTGCTTTTTTTATTTGGTTATGTTGGATTAGCGTGCTACTTATTAACCACTTATCTAGACAGCGGTATATTTCATTTTTTCTTCTACATGTAAATTGCAATTTGTCTGCATTCTTTGCCCGCAAGACATCTTCTAAACATAATAGTTTATTAAGTAATTTTAAACGTTTGACTGACCAGTCTTGAAGGGTGCTTTTTGAGCTTCCATTTTGATCCATTGCATCGTTCAATACACAGTTTAAATTTCAACATATCATAATTGATTCGTTGTTTAATGTGGATTCAGAGATCCATTGTTTAGTCGAATTAAAGAAAATTGATCTTAGTTTACTATCGTTCGGCGCATACAAATGGATAATGGAGAACAAAAAATCATTTTTTCTTGACATTAATTAAAATTCTTCTACCTGTTTCATCTTTCATTGTATCTATTAATTCATATTAAAACAATTTTTCTATGAGTATACACAACCCCATGCTATATAAGTTACCGAATGCATGATATGAGTCGCCTTCCCAAAGCCAATCATTTTTTGAAATTACATCTGTAGTTAAATGAGTTTCTTGAAGCAGGATAATATCCGCTTTCTTATTCTCTAACTACTTACATATATTAAGTTGATTATTCCTATTTCTTAAACTCTTACGTTAAGTGAAATACATTGTACCTTTTGTTTTGATTGGTTATAGTTTTTTTTAAACTTTTGATTTTGTAACTACTTTCTAACATGATTATCAAGTTAAACTAAGGCATAAACAGAATATAACTAAACCTTTTGAAATTACTTTACTGTAAATTTTTTAAACAGAACCTAACCAAAACGTGTTCAATAGCACTGTACAATATTAACATATAACCTTACTTTCTTGGTGATTTTTTCATTTATTTTGTAACCATTACATATTTTATTACTTGATTACTTAATTATAACTAACAATGAATATGAAAGTACTGTAGTCCTAATATAACAAATCGTTTATGTATATATATTTACAGTAGGACATTAGAAACTCACGATTTTTTATCCGGATTCCGGACGGGATCCGGGCTCCGGACGGGATCCGGGCTTGATATGAACGTAACATAAAAGGGTTCGACTCTACTAACATCTGAGAAACCTGGACTTAGTCAATTGTATAATATGTGTAATCCAGTAGTTAGTAGATGCTGAATAAAGCTTGCAGCATATTGTTATTAAAGGAACTGATGTGATCTTATTGAAAGTGCTCATTCTAACACATCAACCATTTACATATTGCATTTGGATCGAACCAGAGCTACAACCCCATCCTCACCAACCAACCACAATATTAAATTATTTAAATCGAAAAGATGTGGAATGTAGTATTTGAAGATTGTTTTAAATAACTATTTTTATTGTTAAGCAATGTATTTTATGAAGTATGTTCTATATATGACTATTTTAAAATTTTTATTCTGTTAATTTTTTTTTTTTTTTTTTGTATTGTACATGTGAAAAGTACATATTTTCATTGTATTTTATTGTGTGGGACCATTGTATAAAACGGATTTTAATATCGGCTAGGTAAATAAGTCTTAAATAAAAAAAAAGAAATATATAAATCGAGATTACCTTTGCAAGTGGGGACTTCTTTTTAAAATGAATAATGCAGTAAATATTTGGAATTGTTACTAAAACCGTATTGAACAACTGAAGACGTGTTTCAATCATGGTATTCGAAATTCTGTTGAAATTCTTCTTAAAACTCAGAAAAAACCCAATTAGAAAAAAAATAATATAATGATGATCAAAACATGCCGACGACAGTTTGTTGAACATCTTCCAGGTTGGAATTCTGTCAGACACCTTTTTCATACTACTGAAAAAAAGAACTTCTCGTTGAAGGGCTACTTGGTAAACTTATTTAGTTTTCTACTACGGGCTCTGGCCATAGTGACTCGAAGGAGGACTTTACTCACATGACTCATGAAGCTAATAATTCTGTGTAGTTCACATTGGAATGTTTTTAGAAGTGTAATAAGCACTCACAGAAACCGTGATGAAGATCTAAAACTATCATATATTTAATTTTATATCATATTTTTAACTCTATACTCAACTAAATATGTTTTCATTTCTGTCACTAACTACTTTGATTAGTAATTCCGTTGGTTATACGATAAGCTAATATGATGTTCTGTATATTTCAGTTCTTTGTATTCCTGCTTGTATTAGTAGTGTCTGAATTGGTTGGTGGATCTGTCGCTGTAGTTTACAAAGAAAAGGTACTGGTAATATAATTTTATCATTATCATCATCATCGTCATCGTCGTCGTCATTGTCATCGTCATCGTCATCATCATCATCATCATCATCATCATCATTATCATTATCATTATTATTATTATTATTACATATTTTATTATTATCATTAATTGCTGTTATTGTTATTCTTAATGTTGTTGCAATTTCCTTTGTCATTGCTGTTGTCGGTAAATATAGATGATCTTTTACAACAAAGATTCTACAAACAAGGACAAATTAAATTAAATAAAACTGAAATCCATTCCATGGTATATTTTAATAGCTTACAACTCCTGCTCTACTGCTGCTGCATATTTTTTTCGTTACTTCTGCTTGTCTTTATTTTTTGAACGGTTTTCAGTAACACCAAATGATAAATAGTTTTCACAAATTACCATTCTCTGATTTACTTTAACAACACGCACCTGAATTTTCTGATCCTTGGAATATTTCAATTATTTACCCAAAATACATTGGCCCTTAACATTGAATCGATCCTTAAAAAAAATATTAACTCTGAAGTCACCTTTTTCCCTCTGTCTATTGTTTATTTTCATTTAATGTTGGTAAACATTCTTTTATCCATCTGTACCAAAATGTCGCATTAATGCATTAATTGCACCACTTATATTGGCTAAAAATGGTTGAAAGGTCCTACTTTTTCCTCTGTCCATACACTACCGAAATTGTACTTATGCAGACTTTGCCAGTTTAAGTCTTAGCACATAATGGTGGTAGATCTAACCATATTTTAATAAACTACCTTGGTTTTAGTAGCTACAAATCGCAACGTGACTTTCTATAGTTCTAGAGTTTTATCTCAGCTGCATAAGCTTCACTTGAAGAATCACAAAATACTTGTAGTTGTAGGTCTTTTTCACATTTGGACACAAAAATAAAAAAAAAATTTATTAATCCAAATTTATTTTGTTAGGCTTCCTGAGTACTGGAGGTTGAGATTGAAATTTATCCGATTCATTCCAAGTCAAACCTAAATTGTTTGTTGATAGCAATTTATTTAATGTGATATTCATAGAGATGGCCATATGCTCACTTGGAGTTAAGCACAGTGTCAAATACAAGCGGAAATTTGTTCAATGCATTAGTACCTTTCTAGGATACCCTAATACATTTGGATGGATTTATTGGGTTTATTTCATAAATCGATGCATATAGGTGTAACTTGCTCATACAATTCTATTTGCAATTACATTTTAGATATGTCGCACATTATGCAATTGGGTTTTTTTTTCTAAATATTGCCAACACATTTCAAAAACTTCATTAAGTATTCCTGGACCTAGTTTTAGCAATGGAATCTTCACCCCTTCGAAAGCCAGGAAAAGTAAAAGGACCTGCCAAAAATCTTCGCCAAATCATTCTCCTACACACTATCAGGAAGTGCATATCTATAGTTGCACTTGAGATAATTAGGGACTAGATCAAAACATTTCTACCTCCCAGTCAAAGGCTTTAGGTTCAGTAAAAGCACGGGTGATCTCGTTTTCACTCACCGGTGGCTAGCGGCAAAAGAAGCGAAGGAAGAAATCAGCAAATCTTACACCGGATAGCTCTTCAACAGCTGTGGCGGCGCAAGGATTTCCCCGACGGGGGTTCCAAGGTCCCCGACAGGTGGGGCTGATATCCCTGACAAGAAAAAAGTGGTCCAGGGGACGTTGCCCCCCCCCCCGAAAATATGACAATTTAGGGGTTTTAAAGGCTTATTTAATCGATTTCAGAGTCTATGTACAAAATACAAATAATTTTTTAGAATTGTTTTTCTCCCCCGAATATGTTTTCCTCGACTGGGGGGGGGGGAGCTGTAGCCCTGCCTAGCCTCCCCCCCCCTCCCCTGTAGCGCCGCCACTGCTCTTTAAGACTGGACGAAAGTAGAGTTGTGTCGTTTGCGTATCTCTTGAATTTGCAATCACTATAGTTAGGTAATGCGTTCACTAATTTACTCACGTACAGAAAAGTACAGGTACAGGTCCCCGGCGGGGGCCGATGCCCCCGACGAGGGGTCAGATTTCCCCGACGAAAGCGAAGTGGGCGTAGTCGAAGGGAAGCCCCCGAAAATTTTGACAATTTAGGGGTTTCAAAGGCGTATTTAATCGATTTTACAGTCTACTAATATGTAGAAAATGCACACAATTTTTTTTCCGACGAATTGTGCTTTTTCTCCCTGACGGGGGTGGGGGAAGCTCTCCCAGACGAGGGGCTCTTTTACTGACGATCTACTTTTTTACGAACTTGCACTAGGATTGATTGAAGCGAATTTAGTTTTAGTCACGATAACTAAGTTATTTGGTCAGAGACTATCCTTTAACTATACATGGCCGGCGGAAGCGGGGGGGGGGGGGGGGGGGGGCCGGGCCCCCGAGAAAAAGATTTTTGTATGGCTGCTGAGAAAGTTTACCTTACCGTTTTCATGAGGGGGTAAACCTTGAATTTTGAAGAACAAAGTCATTAGACACCTAGCTCAAAAGTCGAGAAAGGTCATTTCCCGCCATCTAGAAATCAAAATATTCCCGGGGGAGGAATGTTGACCCCACCACCTAGATTTGATTCCAGATCTGCATGATTCATATTCCCATTCATCTTATAAGCAGTGGCGTAAAAGGCGGGGGCCAGGGGGACAGACTGCCCCCCCCCCCCGACGGTTTTTACCGGGCTGACCAAGCCGTCGTACCAGGCTGGGTAAGAAGAGAAAAGAAAGAGGAGAGAGGGAGGGAAAGATAAATAAGGGGAAAGAAAAAGAAAGGAAAAAGAAAAAGAGAAGAGAAAAATAAAGACAAGAATAAAAAGGAAGATATAATGAACAGATATCACAATACCCCGGCCTGCAACCCCTTCTCCACTTCAAAAAGTGTCCGTATCGCATTTGATCTAAGCCGCCAGGTATTCTTCGCAGTGGTGTAACTACCGGGGAACAAGGGGAAAATATCCATCTGTGGAAAATCTTTCCCCATTGAATGCCTTTTCACCCGGGAAAGTGCCTGAAAATCTCAAATTTTAAATCGTATATTTTGTTGAGGAAGGCCAATTTCCTCTAAAAATTGCACATTTTAGGGAGTTTTGATCAATTCCGACGAAATTAGAAAACAACATTTTTCGCGCGCTACGCGCGCATTTTTTATGGTTAAAGCTTGTGCTTGCTCTCCTTTGCCTTATAAA